AAATCTGGACACCTTTAGGAGAAAGCACATTAAAATTCACTTAGGGCGAAAGTGCAATGTTTCAGTTTCGCCATGATTTTATTTTGCTGATTGACTCTCAGGAGGGGAATCTGTCTGGTCTAAAGATTGGATCTTTGATGTTAAATCTGCGTGGCTGTTTGGAGAAAGCAAACTCCTATGCTTGTGGTGCTGAAAGCCAGAAGAAAACAGTGCATGTAACCTATTATCTGCTCACTGTAATGTGCTGCTTGTGAAGTGACTGTTGGAGCAATAGTTGCCAGTGGCCATTTCCTGGCTGTTAATTATCACTGTCCATTTGCTTATGGCCTTTCATTGATTTAAAAAAAAATAAATCAATCCACCCAAGTGGAAATCGGCATCCTTGCATTGCACTGACATTTCAAATGTCCCACAATTACAAAAAAAAGTATAATTATAGTGCAAATTCTTATTTACTTATTTATTTATGGCACCGGGGGATTAAACCTGGGGCCTTGTCCTGCTAGGCAACTGTTCTCCTACTGAGCTATATCCCCAGCCCTTTTGATTTTAGGATTGTTTTTTATTTTCAGGCAAGGTCTTGCTAACTTTCCCAGGCTGGGCTTGAACTTGCAATCCTCCTGCCTCAGCCTCCCAAATAGCTGAGATGAACAGTCTTTTTTTTTTTTTTAGAGATAATAACCCGAATTTATTATTAGATTTCATTAGAAACATCAAAGGGGAATGAAATGTTGTAAATAAAAAAGTAGGCAAACAATAGTGATATAAAGCAAATAAACAGACATGTAAGTGTGTCTCCTGGAAGAAGAATCCACGGTTGAAAAGACACCTGCCTGAGTGATGCTGGTGGGAATCGCTCAGTGGTCAACCCTGGGAGCCGAATGAATGGCCATCAGCAGAGGATGCGGGACAGCTGTGCTCCACCCCCATGACGGTGCCACCACTGAGGAGGAGCAGCGTGCAGGGCTCCAAGCCTGGTGTTACTGCTTGAAGAAGACCTGCCGGAAACATTTATACCAAATGGTTCCAGCTCCACCCTCTCTACTCCACCGGGGACAAAAAGCACGTGGTCAGCTTGGGATGAGAGGACAGGAGGGGATAGCAGCGCCACAAGAGACGCTCCCAAGTGATGCGTGAAAGTGTTCTGCACCTCCGCTGGGTGGGAGGTTTCACAAAGACTGCTGCTGACCCCTCACACTGTCTCTGCACTGCATACTGCACTTTGTGTTGCGTTCGGTATCTGTGCTTAAGTAGCTATCCATGTGCACTTGAAAGTTATGACCTGCTGTGAATCCTCCACTCCTGGCCACCCAGGGGTTATCAGCTGAAACTTTTGTATCCTTTAAAGAAAATTATATTGGACATTTTGGGATCATCTCCATAGTCCCTATTGGAATTGAAAGGCAAGTGAAGTCAACCCAGGAAAGAAAATCATCCTCAAACCCATCAGATCTCTATGTGCTGACATGAGCACTGTGTCTTGAGAGAGAATGGACCCTTTGGATGGGAAAGCACACTTCTCCCTGTGCCTGCTGCATCTTAAGCATCTACACATTTGCCGAATTAAAACTTCTGATTCATCAAACTCTAACATCACAGGCAGCTTTTCTGGTTTCTC